GCTTGGTAAAGCATTCACATTTCTTCAGCTAAGTTTTAGATTAATGGACAATAATGATATGTAATATTTTATGTGGCTTTTTAAACTATAAAGGGTTCTGCTGGTCTTTAGTTTCTAAGACAGCGTAGGAACCAGGGGAACTAAATCAGTATTTATAGCTACCCCTTCTCCAAGGCCAGAATCAAGTTGTATTCAAATGCAGGGACGGATTGCAACCGTGACCAGCATGGCGGCTTGTTAGTAAATACCTGGGAGCGGGCCAGTGCTCTGCCCAGCGGCAGTGTTTATACTGCACCCAGGGAATCATTCAGGGGAAGAAAGCCTGCCTGTTAATAAGCCAGATGATGTGGCTAATGGCAGTGCTGGCCACGGCTTGGACGGTAGGGGCTCACAAAGTCAAACACAGCTCACTTTCGGCTCTCTCTCAGCTTGAAAGCTTTAGAAAGCATTTCCAACGGAGGGCCTCAGGGATTTTGGTACAAAAATGCCGAAAAACCTCAAATACAGTGGTATGTTTATAAAAATCGCAGGGGCCCCAGTCCCGCCTAAGAGAGGTCGGGGAAATGCATTTGTTTAACCTCACAAAGTTCTTGACCAGGGATTTTTACTCGATTTAATCTACATCCGTAGCAATTCTATAATTGAATAATAAGTCATTTATTATGAAAGTTATGAGTGTGTTTCTAACTGTGACCCAGGCAGCTCTGGCTATGTTCTCTCTCTCTGTCTCCTTTTTCAAGTGCAGTGACTGAAGGTTTTGGCCAGGTTTCCTTCATCCAGGAGGATTTTTAATGCATTGCTCACCTGCTGTGAGGGAATATTAAGCAGCAGGAGCCCCATGAGCAGATCCTTTATGTGTGGATGGTGGTGTGGTTGCCATAGCAATGGTGTCACTGGATTGACCCCTTTTTCCCCCTTAACTCTGCTTGGGAAAGACAAGCAGGTGGGAGGAAGAGCTGGCATGTGAGCTGGGGCCTTAGAGCTGAGAGGGGAACAGCATGGCCCAAGGCAAGGAGCTGTAGATTCCGAGTTCTCCCCATCCCCGCCCCCCACCCCCCACACAGACATGATTTCCTGCAGGTGATGTTTCTCGGCAAAGAGACGAGGATAAGGTTGGATGGAGAGATTGGTTCCAGGGTGGGGCAGCAACTCTGAAATCTCATCAGACCCCTGACTTTAAAGCCATCCACATGCCAGTGAACCTCGAATAAACGTCTCTTGCTTTGCCCGCTCCAGATTGCTATACTAGCTGTCCACTGACACCTCCAACAGGACTGCTGAAAGGCATCTCAGAGTTGAATTTCCACAATCCACTCATTATTGTCCCATCTCATCCATAAAGACAAAACTGTTGGAACTATCTTTGATCCCCCTCTATCCCTCCTCCCTCTACATTAGCTTACATTCCTGCTGACTGGAACTCCAAGACACACTGCAAAGACACTGCAAAAACTCTCTTCAGCTCCATAACTCCCCTCTCCTCAACCACAGCAGTAACCTCCCTTGGGATTCCCTTGTGAAATAGATCATCAAACCCCTCATTAGGTGAAGTGGTTGGTAATCAAAATCCTGCTAAGGTGGGTTCCAGAGAAGTGAAGTGTGGGGGAAGGAGCTAAGTCTTAGTGTTTCTTTGTAAGGCAAATGTGGGTTGGCAGGAGTGTGTTTTTCTAAGGGGAGCTGGTGAGGCATGTAGATTTGCTGATGGTGTGACCCAGGAGAAAGGGAGCACATGGTGATGCAGGGGAGAGGGGAGGCTGGCCGGGGCTGTCCCCTTCGGTGTCCCAGCATGTACAGCTCACCCACAGCCACAGGAGGGAGGGGTCTGAGTGTCTGCTCCACAGGTGGGTTCATTTTTATTTTTTAAGTATAGTTGGTGTATAATACTATATTGGTTATGGTAGTTTCAGTGTACAATATAGTGATTTGACATTTTTATACCTTATAATGTTGTCACCCCACTAATTCTAGTGATCACCTGTCACCAAGCAAACTTATCACAATATTATTGACCCTAGACCAGGGGTGGGCAAACTTTTTGACTCGAGGGCCACAATGGGTTCTTAAACTGGACCGGAGGGCTGGAACAAAAGCATGGATGGAGTGTTTGTGTGAACTAATATAAATTCAAAGTAAACATCATTACATAAAAGGGTACGGTCTTTTTTTTTTTTTTAGTTTTATTCATTTCAAACGGGCCGGATCCGACCCGCGGGCCGTAGTTTGCCCACGGCTGGGCTAGACCCATTCACCTGTTCACCCATCCTCCACCAATTGCCTTCTGGTAACCATCCCTTTGGTCTCTGTTTCTATCAGTCTATTGTTGCTTTGTTTGTTGGTTGGTTTTATGTGTTTTTTAGATTCCACATGTAAGTGAAACCATATGATATTTGTCTTTCTTTGCCTGACTTATTTCACCTAACATAATACCCTCTAGATCCATCCATATTGTCACAAATGGCAAGATTTCATTTTTTTATTTCTGTGTAATATTCCATTGGGTGTATGTGGAATATTATCTATCTATCATCTATCAATTTCTTTATATATCATCTATTGATTGACATTGGGTAGCTTCCATATCTTGACTGTCTTTTATATATATAAAAAGCCAGTGACTGGAAAGCCATAATGACTAGAATGACTGGTCGCTATAACGCCCACTGCAGCCAGAGAACCGGCCCAATCAGGGGGTGGGGCAGGCCGGCCAACCTCCCATGGCCCCTACCCCCGGCCAGCCCTGCCCCTGATCAGCCCACCCCCAATCAGCCCCCACCACCCTGATCAGCCCACAGCCCCTTCTCCTAGCCACCTCTGCCCCCAATCCTCACCCCCCCCCCCACCAATCAGGGGTGGGGCCAGCTGGCCCACCACCCGCAGCCCCTCCCCACAGCTGGCCAGGCCCTGATTGGGCCCTGACCAGGGCGGGCTGGCCGGCCAACATCCCGCTGTCTCCTCCTCCTGACAGGCCCGGCCCTGATCCACCGATCCACTGATTGGGGCCAGGCCAGCCGGACCCCACCCGTGCATGAATTCATGCACTGGGCCTCTAGTTATAAATAATGCTACAGTGAACATAGGAGTGCATACGTCTTTTTGAATTAGTGTTCTTATTTTCTTTGGATAAATACCCGGAAGTGGAATTGCTGGTGGGCTTTAGATAGGTGGGCTGATGAACTGGCCTGAGCTCACCCCTCTTCTCTCAGTGCAGTAGGAAGTAGGGTCATCAGCTGACATGGGGAAGGATAAGGAGGTGGGGAGAAGTAGGTCGGGGAACATATGCCTTCTTTCTGAACACACCGTGGACCTTGACCAGCTCTTTCCTCTGCCTGGAATCTCTTACCTAGGGTTTCTCACGTGGCTTGTGACATTGTGACATTCACATCTTAGCTTAAATGTCACCTCCTCAGAGCGGCTCTCTGACCTCAGAATCTAAAATGGCCACCCTGTCACTCACAATCACACCGCCCTATTTTAATTCTCTGATCAGCATATATCACTGTGAGATATTTAAGTTGTTTATTTTTTACTTATTTACATGTTTATTGCTTCATCTTTCACTAGAGATACTAGCACACAATAGGCCTTGAGCACATAGAAACATTTTAATGAATAAGCATGAGAAATTACTTTTCCTTCGGGAAAAAATACAAATGTGTCATGATGGAATACGATAAAACCAGATTTGGGTGTATAAACTTGAATAGGCCTTGGATTAAATGTGTGTGTGTGTGTATGTGTGTGCATGCGCATGCGTGTATGCGTTCCCATGTGTGGCGGGGTACATTAGCAACCAACTTAAGATGCAAGTGGTCGTATTCTCCTAGGCAAACAGAGGATCCCTCAGTCCTCAAGTCCACTCAGCACTTGAACTTTATCTAGGTGCAGATAAAGTTCAAGTGCTGAGTGGACTTGTGCCCAGTGCCAGTGAATTCGGACATAGTTAGAGGTCCAGATACCATTAGTGAACATTATGTAAATATCTAAACTGAGTGTATCAAAGAAAGACCTTTAAAATGGGAAATGGAGAGGCCAGGCTCTCCTCTTTAAGCCTTAAATAGATGTGTGAACTGGGCCTAAAAACCCTGCTGGCTCTGCAGCCAGCGTCTAGAGCCAATCTGGCTAAGAACAGGAAGTCTGTCAGCCCAGGGGCACATGCAAACAAAGTTTCAAAAGTCTGAAACAGCCTCCTTTTGTCTTAAAGTGATGGTTTATATTATAATTCCTCTACGAAAATCCTAACCCTTCTAGGGAAAGATTCTAATTTGCCAAAAAATAAAAAATTCCTATGCAGTCTTTACAAATAAGACAAATAAAAAGACTCTAATATACCTAGTTTAAAATAATGCATGGAAATATATTTATATTCTGCCCATGTGTTTCTTCCCGAAATCTCTAATGATTGTACTGCGGTGCTGAGTTGTCCAGAATTGAACCAGTGTATCATTCTCTAAGAATAAGGTAGGCAGTGACTGTATATTTAGCCAAGTAGCCCAAGACCACTCATCCTCCCGTGGTCAGGAAATACTAAAATAGTGAACAAAGGTAAACTTCAGGAGAAAAAGGACTTTCTACGCAGCAATGTAACTCACCCTTTCCGTTAAAGCCACGGGTACTTCAACCTCCCATCACCTTGCTGACAAAGTCTGTGAATTTGCAGAACCAAATGCAGGTGGATGAAAGCTAAGATTATTAAAAGATGTTTCGGACAGTTTCTTGTTCCACCCATAAAAAATGAGCTCATGTAGGTAAGATGACATGCTATTAGGGGCCTATGAATAGTGATGTTTCCTGGTTACTTCTCCAGGGGAGATTAGAGCTCCTCAGGAATTATCAGAGCCCTGGCAGGGACGTAAGTGGTTCTCTGCGTCTTTTCCCAGATTTGTGAAATCACCGCATTCTCTGACCCATAAATTACAAACTATGTCATCTGCTGGGTGGATAGGCAGAGTTTTGGACTACAGTGTTTTCTGTTTTGCTTTTGTTTGTTTGTTTTTATTTAGGCTGGAGGGGAAAAACTAGATCCAGAAGAGGCACTGATCTATGAAGAGGGTTTAGACGAAGGAGATGGTGTTGAAGGCGAGACGGAAGAAAGCACAAAACTGAAAATCTTCCGCAGGTTTGCCTTTGTGGCTTCCAAGCTTAAGGAGTTTATTGGCAACATGATAACCACCGCTGGAAAAGTAGTTGTGACGATTTTACTGGGTTCATCAGGTGAGACTTTCCAGTCCTGGGTGGAGCACAAATGACTCTGGCGAATCATGAAAGAAATGGTGGAAGAGAAAATAAAGAAGGAAATAATTCTATTCCATGACACCAATATAATAGCTGGAGCTTTTGTAAAAGAGGCCACATGTACAAACCACACACATGCAAGTCATTTTTCCCATGCAGTTCTACTTTTTATATTTTAGATAGTTTCTGTTAACTTCTGTAAAGCAATCGTTTTCTCTATCTGTTACATGACATCATTTTCTATGTGTAGATCAGAAAAACAACCATTCTTCCTCAGAGCCTGTGAATGGTGACCTGGGACAATGAATAATTTTAGTGTACAGGTGCCTCTGAGAGCCTGTCTGTATACATTGATTCATCAGTGATCATAACTTAACTCTCCAGGATTTACTGTTTTTCTTCCTAAGTTACATTGCAATCTTCTAGCACAGACACTCACTTCCTTTAAATTTTGGCTATAGACTGCTGATACCATAATTATGTTATATCAGTTTCTCTTCCGCCGCCACCCCAACATTCAGTGCTCTAGAGCTACTGGGAAGTTTATTCAAAACTACCTCCTTGAAATTTCACAAGATGAAACAACATAACTGTTTGTTAATGGGAAAATAAAAAAGTGGAAAAAGAATAGAATTTCTCAAGATATATAGCCCAATATTTTAATGAGTCATATCAAAATCAACCCGCACCCGTCCCCCGCCCCCCCCCCCCCCCACACACACACACACACTTCCCCTGAAAGGTTTTTAATGCCTGTAAAGGAATTGCCTCGTTTTACATTTCCCTTTTTGGTGATAGTGCAAATCAGATTTCGTTTGGTAGGAAAACATGTTAGTGAAACTTTAACTGCCACAGAATGTAATATTATTATGAATCCTAGTTAACTAAAAGACAAGGTAAATCATTATTTTAAAAGTGGTATCGGGAAAGCTGGAAGGGACATACAGTATTCCTGAAAATTTGTAGGGAGAAACAGAAGATGGAAACAGGCAATTAAGTATGCTATATTCTGCTGGTGTGAAGATTAGCTGTTTACTCTGCTCAAATACCATAGGTAGAATTTCTTCCTCATCTGGTATTTCCCCATATTTACAAATATCACTTCGTGTATGACTTTTTTCATAATAAAAATAGCACTGATTCTGATTTTATAAATAAAAAGTGATTATTTTAAAAACCTGATCAATACCTAAAAACCCATGGAGGAAATTTATATAATCTCTAATACTTGCAGTTACTGAGTCGTAAATGATTTTTAGTTCAATGCAATTTTTCATGATTGTATTTCTTCTTCCTTAGGTATGATGCTGCCATCTTTGACCTCATCTGTCTACTTTTTTGTATTTTTGGGTCTGTGCACCTGGTGGTCCTGGTGCCGGACATTTGATCCATTGCTGTTCAGCTGTCTCTGTGTTCTCTTGGCTATTTTCACCGCGGGACACTTGATTGGACTTTATTTATACCAGTTCCAGTTCTTTCAAGAAGCAGTTCCACCCAATGACTACTATGCAAGGTAAGAGATGAAAACTCATTAAGACATTAAAGGGGAGGTGGCCCTCTTATATGAATTTGTTTGAATTTTCAGGTGTTCTTCTTGATGGATGGGGTTCTCCTAGGGATGGGGAAAGCAGTAAATTTATTGAATGGCACAGTCTAGGAAGTAGTAGATGATCCATTCAGATGGAGGTGCTGCTGGGATAGTAAAAAAGGAAGCTGCTGTTTGTACCAAGTGAGACAGATACATGGTCTCAGCTGTGGAAAGAGACCCAGGAAAAACATTTCATATCAAAGAATAATGACAGCGTCTTGAAGCACCCAGCTGGAAGGAGCTCTCAAAGGCCAAGTGGAGGACATATTGAGAATCAATCAATTAAATAGTCAATAATTGATTCTAAAATTTTTTTAAAATATATTTTATTGATTTTTTTACAGAGAGGAAGGGAGAGAGATAGAGAGTTAGAAACATCGATGAGAGAGAAACATCGATCAGCTGCCTCCTGCACACCCCCCACTGGGGATGTGCCCGCAACCCAGGTACATGCCCTTGACCGGAATCGAACCTGGGACCCTTCAGTCCGCAGGCCGACGCTCTATCCACTGAGCCAAACCGGTTTCGGCTGATTCTAAAATTTTAAAAATAAAAATACATGAGTCCATGCTGAGAGAGAGAGAGAGAGAAATCTAATTTGTGTTAAATAAAGATGACAATTACACATACTCCTTATGGTGAAAATGGGAATTAAAGAATATAGCATTTACTTTGACTTTTTGGAGGAACTCTAAGCCTTCTCAGTTAATGAGGGAAAACTCCTCTTTACAGAATAACAATAGCTAATGAAAGGGAAAGGAATAATAGAATTAGAAAATTGCTACTCATCAATTCTTAATGACATACTTGTTTCTAGTTACAAACTAAAACCATTACTTAAAAAGGTTCTTGGAATGAAGGATGTTTGCAATAATGACAAAGTATATTTTCACTAATTATTTGCTAAATGCAAAGGAAAAAATCAAACCCTTACAATGGTGGTCAACCCCTTAACTAATTGATCAAAAATGACATAAACAAACATGGGATAGTTCAACATTTTACACTTCTAGATGTGATGTAATATAAGGTATACAGTATCATATTCTTAAGCCTTTAGACCAGCGGTTCTCAAACTGTGGGTTGCGACCCCTTTGGGGGTCGAACGACCTTTTCACAGGCGTCGCCTAAGACCATCAGAAAACACATATATAATTACATATTGTTTTTGTGATTAATCACTATGCTCATGTTCAATTTGTAACAATGAAAATACATGCTGCATATCAGATATTTACATTATGATTCATAACAGTAGCAAAATTGCAGTTATGAAGTAGCAACGAAAATAATTTTATGGTTGGGGGTCACCACAACATGAGGAACTGTATTAAAGGATCACAGCATTAGGAAGGTTGAGAACCACTGCTTTAGGCCTAACCTCCAATTTTCAGAAAATATAAAAGATAGAAAAGTAACTTAAATGACTCCACAGAAAAACAGAGAAATCCAGAATGTGGATTCTACAAGGCAAATGATCTGGTCTTCTTTAAACTTAGCACAGATATGACTCTAGGTTACATCCTCCTTTAATGACAAGCCCCGAAGAGAAGTTTTGAGGTTAAATGGGGACATTTTAATATTCTTTGGTTATGAGATGATAATATAGAATTTTTGTTAATTCTTAGGTACATGATTGTATTGTGGCTTTACAGGAAAATGTCATTGTTTTGGGAGATACATGGTGAATTATTTAGGGATGAAATGTCATGATTTCTGTAACTTTCTACTAGTTTATTGACAAACATGGGTGGGAAGGAAGGAGGGAGGGAGGAGAGAGAGAGAGAGAGAGAGAGAGAGAGAGAGAGAGAGAGAGAAAGTGTGTTATTTCAACTAGGTCATTGTCATTGGATTATTCATTGCCGTATTTTTAAATTTTCTTTTTGTGTGGAAAAGTTCATAATTAAAAGTTATGGAAAAAAGAAAAGGAAAGAGAAATGGCCAGAATGTCAGGATGAAGTGAAGACTGTGCCAGAATTCTTCTCTCTGATATATCTCTGGGAAGTCTTATAGGTACCTAAGTGAAATAAGTCAGGTAGAGAAAGACAAATACTGTATAGTATCATATATGTGGAATCTAATTTGAAAAGAACTCCTGTAAGCAGACAGTCGAATGGTGATTGCCAGGGCAGTGGGGTGGGGGAAAGAGGGAGAGGCTGGTGAAAGAGTACAAACTCAATTATGACATGAATAAGCTCTGAAAATCTAATGTATAGCAGGTTTACTATAGTTAATAATTCTGTATTGTATGCCTGAAATTTGCTAAAAGAGTATATCTTAAACATTCTCACATACAAAAGAGCTATGTAAAGTGGTGATTGATGTCAATTAACTTGATTGAGGTAATCATTTCACACTGTATACTTACATCATATCATTAAAAAATTATGTTTTTATGTGTTAACTAATGTCCCAGTGCACCGATTCATGCACACTGAAAGGAAATTAATTAGAAGAAATATTTTAATATCGCTATTCACTCTTTCTCTAATATAGAAGTGTCAACCAAATTCACGATTGACAATGACAGATTGAAACACATGCGTGTGATTGGTACCAGCGAGATCTTTCTATGTATTGCTCATGCACAAGTGAACTTAGCCTTTTATATGTATAGAATGAACTTGCTTAATTAGACCTGCTTTCTCATTTACCTAAACTTTTTCCATCCCAGTGAAGCACCCCAACTTCTCTTTCAGGTAATTGCCAGCAACACAGCAGTAAATATCAATATGAAGCAGATTATTATTATAGATCATGCAGGGAGAACGAAGGGTAAAATATTTAACTATAGCAGTGTTTGACTATATTCTGCACAATGAGAAAACCTGACGTCTTTCTTACTTCTTTTCAGTCGGGTCAAATTTCTAAACTTTCTAAATCTCCATTTTCTGGCCAATGAAAACAAAGTAGGATTCTACCGAGTCTCCTATCTACCTACTCCAGGACTTCTGTGAGGATCGAATGAGATGAGGCACAGGAAAATGCTTCACAGACATTTGATTAAAGTGTAAAATGTTTGCACCTGGCAAGTCACGTTCCTGGGCTGAAGAAACTCTAAGGAGGCTAGTTGCTAGGGAGAGGAAGCTGGGTGTTGCTACATGATGTCATTACCTGACACCCACAGCAACTGTTTCCAAGCTGGGCTAGGCTGTGGGCTGCATTTTGCGCCATGCAGTCTTGGCAGCGTTGGCTGCGATTTGGTGGGATGTCACTCTGGGGTGGTGGTGGGGCCTGTGTCCCACTTGGGGGGAGCCAAGTGTTGGTTTGTGGGCGCCAGGTCCGTGGTGCCATTTATTTTTAAATGGTCAGTGCACGTCATGGCAGCTCCTGCGTTGAGTGTCTGCCCCCTAGTGGTCAGTGCATATCATAGCTACCGATTGGATGGACATTTAGCCTTTTATATATATAGACTAGAGGCTCGGTGCACAAAAATTTGTGCACTGGGGCGGGGGGTCCCTCAGCATGGCCTGTGCCCTCTCACAGTCTGGGACCCCTCAGGGGATGACCATTTGCTGGCTGAGGCCTGCTCCCCAGGGGATTGGGCCTAAGCTGGCAATCAGACATTCCTCTGGAAGCCCGGCAGCCCTCGGGGGATGTCCACTTGCCAGCGGGGAGCAGACCTAAGCTGCAGTCGGACATCCTTAGCGCTGCTGAGGATGCAAGAGAGGCTCCCACCACCACGCTGTACTGGCAGCCATCAGCCTGACTTGTGGCTGAGCAGAGTTCCTCCATGTGGGAGCTCACAGACCACCAGAGGGAAGCTCCTGCATTGAGTGTCTGCCCCCTGGTGGTCAGTGTGTGTCATAGTGACCAGTCATTCCCAGTCTTTCTGCTGTTAGGGTCAGTTTGCATATTACCCTTTTACTATATAGGATAGCGGCCTGGTGCACGGGTGGGGGCTGGCTGGTTTGCCCTGAATGGTGTCCTGGATCAGGGTGGGGGTCCTTCTTGGGTGCCTGGCCAGCCTGGATGAAGGGCTGGTGGCTATTTTCAGCTGGTCACACCCCCTTCAGGGGTGGGGGTCCCCACTGGGGTGCCTGGCCAGCCTGGATGTGGGGCTGATGGCTGTTTTCAGGCTGGCCACACCCCTTTAGGGTGGGCATCCCCACTGAGGTGCCTGGCCAGCCTGGATGAGGGGCTGATGACTGTTTTCAGGTTGCCCTCACCCCCTTCAGGGTGGGGGTCCCCACTGGGGTGCCTGGCCAGTCTGGATGAGGAGCTGAGAGCTGTTTTCAGGCAGGCCAAGCCTGCAACTGAAGCTCCCAGTTTCTCCTTTTTTTCTTTTTTTATTCTGGGATTTATTTACCTTCTATAATTGAAACTTTGTTCCGGCTCCAGTTCCAAGGCTGGCTGGCTGAAAGCAGGTATCTGGGGTTTGCTTAGCTTCTATAATTGCAACATTGTTGCATCTGGAGCTCAGAGCTGGGCCGCGGCAGGCGGGGAACCTTGGCTTCCTCCATTGCCAGGGCAACCAAGCTTCATGTTCGCTTCAGCTGCGTGGCTGCCGGCTGCCATATTGGTTGGCAGTTAATTTGCATATCCTGCTGATTAGCCAATGGGAAGCATAGCAGAGGTATGGTTAATTACCATGTTTCTCTATTATTAGATAGGATTGTACTTCAATAAAGAAACCCCTTTAATGGTGTAGATTTACATAATATTCATTTTAGGCAGGAGTGAATAAATGCTAAATTTCAGTATAGATATTAATTCTAGACTAAATGAATCCTTTGATTTCTTTAGATGTTTAATTTTTGGTTTATTAATAGAACACATGGAAGTAAATGTTTTGTGCTATTGGGAGGGCTAACTTTTAGGGGATGATTTAATTGGGAAAAGTAAATATCTTCTATATGGCAGTAGTCCCTGCCACCTCCAACCCCACCACAGTTTGAGAATCTTTTCTGACATCTAGAGACTGA